GCTACCCACATGTACGCATTGCGTACCTATTTTCTATGAGACCTGTCAAAAATGCCATCGATGAAACTTCAGAAGTAAATATAAATCGGCTTACAAGTATGAGTCGATATTCATCCCTTCTGGCGACTAATTGCATCAACAAATTAAAAAAAGAGTCTATTGTTTTTGACGGTCGAAAAAATAGTCGGATTCGTTTGAAAAAAAACAAAAAATAAAAAATATTTTTCGAAGGCAGCCGGAGGGCGAAGAGTGCGCCTGAAGCACTGTATCGCGGCTGTCAGTGGTCATTCCCATTGCCCATTGGGACCATATCTGGCGTCAGCACGAAAAAATCCGCCATGTTGCTTGCTTCACTTTTTTGACAAGACAGAAGCAAGTCCTCCAGGAATTATAATGTAGCTCAGTGCTCGGAGGTTATAAAGTTGGATTGATTTCTGCTTCTCTCTTAACCGGAGACGATAAAAAGGGAAAGAAAAGGAAGAAAAATGAAGGTAGGTTTATTATTCGACAGTAGCCAAGCCTCGCAGCCTACGTTTATTCCCAGCGACAAAAAGGTTAAAATTTTTAACCTTTTTGTCGATGGGAATAAACGTAGGCTTATGTTTGATAATTTCTCCTCCGCAGGCATCTCTTATGTATTTATATTAGGCATTCATATTTACCAAATAGCGGCTATCGCCATTTTGACATTTTTCCAGTTTTAAATACGTGGACATAATTATAATTAATAATTCATCAATGACTGTTGACAATGATGTTCTAAATGATTTTAATATTTAGAAGGGAACCCAAATGAGACAACCCAGCTTATTAAAAGAAATGATTCCAACACTGCAATAGATAAAAAAATTATTCTAATTAACCCCATGGTGTGTTTAGTTGGAAAATCCCACCTAGAAAATAATGATGAGAGACCCCTGTGCAAAGCAAGAATACCCAAGTTGGTTGTAAAGTAAGACAGATGAATAAAAAAAGATTGCTTAACAATAAAAACAAGTCACTGCAAACAAACACTTTATATTCTTCTCTATATTTATTTAAATCTAATAATTATATTTAAAATACAGCAACTCTACTTGTTGAAAGATGAATTATTTAGATGATTGAAAGTTGCATTATTTAGATGATATTTTGTAGTTCAGTAGCAACCCTGTAGTTATACTTATAGACAGATTGTGAAGGACAAATATTATTTACATAATCATTGTTTTCTTTGTTTCAAACAAAGAAATCAAAGGGTCAACTAAAACAATGTTTGGCTTCTTTATTCAGTAATCTGGCTACGCTGCAGATGAAGTGGAGAATAGTCCTCAGGCAACTGTATTTCTTCCAGCAGATTTTGCCGCATTAAGAATATTTCATGTCCCACTGCATTGCTATTTCCTAAAGTTGATTGCTCTATATTAGCAGAATGTTGCAATTGGGAAGCAATTGTACTAGTTCTGTTCTCTAAAGTTTCATTTTGATCTGTGGCTGTGGTTTGAAGAGGCAAATGGTTACTGCTACTTTGATCACCTATAGATTGTGTTTGATGCTGTCGAATACTCTCCATGATTTGATCAACAAGCCATCCACAGGGCATTCTTCCGTCCACAAAATCTACAAAAACTGGTATTAGCTTTATTGACATGGGGCTATTTTTCAGAAAACAGGTTTTCATTGCATTAAAAAATATTTTCATTTGTTTGTTGAGATCAGATGTGTGGACATGGGAGATCAAGTCACTATGGCACATATGCTGTATCATTTTCAGAGGCTCTTCAGCCTGCAGTACAGCATATGAGTAACGTTCATTTGAATACAGCCACGAATAAATAGGAAAACCTTCCGGTTCTATTATAGATTCTTCAATCATAGGGTCATACTGGTGCAGATTTTTGTCCATTTCATGAGGAGACACTAGAAAAATTAACTTTTCTGGTACTGGATCTCCACTGGCGGTCAATAAATTACATCTGCTAAATCTCTGCTGTATATCTTGCAAAGTTTTAAAGTATTTCCAACAAATCATATACATGGTTACACTGAGAGTCATGCCATTAAATTTCACTTCCTGACTGTCTTTGGTAAATATTAACCGCTTTAAAAGTGTACCGAGCGCAATTACTCCTAAAATTAGCATAACATTCTGATGTGTAAAAGGTTGAGTTTCCATCACCGCACAAAACGTAAAGATTCCAGCCAAATCTATCACGATTGTCAGAATGATATATTTACACGAAGCCATAACGGGACAACAGTCGCGGGAAGCAATGAATTGAGATGGGGATGCATCAGACGATTCACTGACTTCACTTCCTACCCAACAACAAAAGCAACAGACCAAAAGTTTTTGTATATTGTTAAAAAAACATGGGACAAAAGGCTCCAAAACAAATCCAAATACTGTCAAAAAAAATTTAAGAAAGCCCGGTTTATCATATTGTATAAGGTAAGGAAATTCTCCAATGACTATGGAAGTAATTGCAATCCAATAAAGTATTTGTCTATTCGTATATGAACCACGGCGTATACAGCATGTCGTGTAAGGCATCGTGACTTATTGGTTGCCGCCACCAACTCACGAAACTACTTTGTTACCACAACACCGTTTAGGGCGGCATTTGTTTATATGATATTGTCAGGTTTAACGTTTCTCGACGTTATCAGGTTTTTATCTGTCGTGACCAAACCGTCGACCATTTCCATACGACTAAGGTTTAAGGTTACGTAATTTTACACTGAGGTTACCTAATTGTAACAAATTTAGATTTGCTACGAGTCACGAAATATATTATAATAATTAAATATGTACCGCAGTCCGCATAATTACAAAGGAACTAAATAAATAATGCCATGCAATGCAATGGTTCTACAGTTCTAAGGTTCTCTACGGTTCTATGGTTCTAGGTTCTACATTTCTATAGTTCTACGGTTCTATGTTCTCTGGTTCTATGGTTCTACGGTTCAAAGCAAAACTTGATAATGTTACGAATAAAAATAAATATGGATGTTATATTTAAAACAGTGTTTATAATAGATACTGAGCCTATAGACTAGGGGAAGGAAAGAAAGACCCGATAAATAGAAAATTTAGAGTGGATGTAATTTAGAGTGATTGAACAGTTGTAGCTCTTTGCTGGCTTTAAGTCCAGTGTTGAGGAAAGGTTTGTTATGTTTGATTATGAATGCTTCGTAGTTTAATACGGGGAGAATTCTCAAAGCACTCCACTTACTCCACTATGATATTCTCGCCTTTCTCAAACCACTCCATATCAAACATTTCTTTAACACTAGACTTGAAGCCAGCAAAGAACTACACATCCAAAAATCGATCAGGTTGTCGTATCAGGGGTGAACAATGCTGTGCTGCACCCTGGGAACAGTATTGTTAACAATGTTGTTGAGCCTTGTTGAATCATCAATGTTGATACAATCATGATGCAATGTTGTTGTAGTAACAAGTTGCAACAACATACAACATTGTTCACTCCTGTTTTTAACAACTTGCATCAACATGATGATTTTTACGCATGTACAACTATTCACCTAATTATATCTACTCTAAAATTTCTATTCGTCGGGTCTTTCTTCCCTTCCGTTCCCTTCCGTTCCCTTCCCTTTCCCTTCCCTTCCCTTCCCTTCCGTTCCCTTCCGTTCCGTTCCCTTCCCTTCCCTTCCCTTCCCTTCCCTTCCCTTCCCTTCCCTTCCCTTCCCTTCCCTTCCCTTCCCTTCCCCTCCCTTTCCTTTCCTTTCCTTTCCTTTCCTTTCCTTTCCTTTCCTTAATCTATAGACTATCTAACATTGTTGTAAATACTAAATATATAGCATACATATTTAGTTTTATTCGTATTTCGTTACATTATCAAGTTTTGCTTTGACTGGATTTTGTATTTGTATTTGTATTTTTGTATTTAATAAGATCCTCAGTTAGCTTAAGCTAGTTTACACGAGGTCTAATTGAAATAAATTATGTAAATAATCTACTAAAATTCTAAGTAAAACTCCTATAGATTAAACGAATAAATATATGATAAATATTTATAGCTATTTTATAATTTTAGAAAATAGAGATCTAAAACATACTATATAAACCATTCAAGCTGCTTACAGAAGACAGATTTAAACCGAGACTTACAGGCTATATTCCTTATTTCACTATCAAGATTGTTCCATATTTCAATTCCTCTAACTCTAAATGCCCGGGCTAAAAATGTTTTCTTCTTAAATTGAGGTTTCTCTAATAATAACTTATCGTTCCTACACCTTAATGAAAACCTTGTGCCATGTTCATGTAAAATTTCTAATACACGAAGATGCATATAAATTGTGGAAGGTTCATAGGTGTATAATGATTTATGTAACATCATGACAGTTTGGAGATGTATCCTTTGCCTGACAGTTAGCCAGCCTATTTCGCTAAATAAGTCTTTTCTAGAGATTTCATTAATTTTATAATTTAAAACTAATCTAGCGACCTTATTCTGAAGCTTTTGTAGATAATTTATAGAATCCTGGTTTAATACAGCACCCCATACAGTACAACAGTAGTTCAGTTTAGACAATATTAACGCTTCAGCAATCGACTTTAGAACTGTAGATGGATTAACTGGCCATCCGCCTACCTGCTGGATTTGACACACATGCTCTCTTTCTCTCTCTCTCTGAAGTCAATATGTCCTGTTTATTCGGAATTTGTTTTTTGCTTTATATACAACCGTAGAATCACAGAATCCAGAACTCAACTAATATTAATAGAACCATAGAACCTAGAACCATAGAATCTAGAACTATAGAACGAAAGAACCATAGAATCGAAGAACCATAGAACCTAGAAACTTAGGACTATAGAACCGTAGAACTATAGAACATAGAACCATAGAACCATAGAACCTAGAACCGTAGAACCATAGAACCATTGAATTGCATAGCATTATATAATTTATATTATTAGTGTCTTACAATTATGCAGTACATATTTCATTAATTATTATAATATATTTCGTGACCACTTTCGTTGGCCTTATTTTGTGAGAATTCCTATTGACTCATATATTTATTTCTTATTATCGTCGCTATTGGATTTGAAGAATGGAATAAACTCAATAAGGTAAAATCTATAGTATAGGGCTTTTTGAAACGACATGCTTCACAGCGTTTAATACGTTCGGCAAGGTTGATTAGAAATTTTGAGCCAACTGAAAGCTTAAACGACACGACGATTTAATTTACAGAATTTACACTACACTCACACGCCACGGCCAAAAGGGTACCGTACCCATTTTATTCGTGCCCTGCGTTTATAATGTAGCCTGAACACTAAAATCGGGTACGCGTACTAATTTCAGCCGTGCCGTGCCAATAAATTGCAACTGTAATAAAAATATTTGCGAACTTGTATCCTATGGTTTTCTATGCTTGTATCCAACAATTTATGAGTATTTGTTCTATTCTATGGTGGATGAAATTTTCAGAGCGATCTAAGGAAAAGTAGATTATACATTTTAGTAGCTATAATACACGTGTGAATAGTTATTTTATAAAATTTCATGTCAGTTTCAAAATGCATAGGGCAATAAAATGTCACCTGATGGTTGTGATGAAATATGTTATTTTTCTATATTCGGATTTTTGTTCCATATCAGTGTATTGTGTACCTTTACATACCAATATTAGATTCAAGTTTTTCCTGGTGTAATAAAGACATGTATCACTGACAATGGTCATCAGATTCAGCGATTACGATTTATAAACTAAAAACTATGCTTATGAGAACTTTGCTTTAGAGGCAACATTCTTCCTAACCGAGTCTTAGTGCCCAATGGACATCCAGGACATATAAAAATGAAATGTCGAAACAAAGATTCAACCAATTTAACTAAGTATTTTACTACTAATTCTATGGTAGTGATATTGTGGCTTGATCTACGAAACACCAGAGAGTGCTCAAAATCATATTCTCCGTTGATTCTATAAAGTTTACTTCTGCTTTTCAAGAGCACAAACTGCTTTGATTTACTTTTTCCTTGTTTATTTTGTAATTGCTTATAATCTCTGTCGTATTATTGGGTGGGTATTAAAATACAGCAACAATGAAAAAATTATTTGTGCACATGTTTTGAAAAATCAACCAAGATTTTTCAGAGCGAAATAAGTTCAATAAACTTGGTTTACTTCATAAGATTTAATTCACTACAAATTTGTTTTGTATAACAAGCAGTGCCTGCCACACCAATCTGGTGAATTTAAATGGTTTAATTTTGGTTTCATTTAGCTCTCTCTATATATACTGAAATTTAGTTGCCTGATGATTGCCACTCTGTGACATGAAACTCAGAGTAGCGATGCCAAATTTTAAGAAATGTGTAAATGTGTAAATATCGCTCTACTAGCTTGCAATATTGAAATATATAAATCTATTCCAAATAGACTTTTTTCGAGCACAGAGTGCTCAATACATTGAATGCAGAGCATGTTATAACAACAACAAAATCGGTCCTCTGGCAGGAATCGAACCTACACTTATGCGATGCTGGTGCAGTGCTCTTGCCACTGAGTTACAGAGGTAGCTGACAAGAGCAAGCATGAAGCATGGTTAGTGTGTATTTAAGGTGGTAATGCCATGAATAGGCTCTTCGCATAAGGGTAGGTTTAATTCCTGCCAGAGGATCAATAGTTGACTTATTTTTCTCACCTGTTCCTGGCTTGAAATGAGTTGTGTATGATTCCACTCTATTCTATTTCCATTCTATTTTATTACAAATATATTATATTAAATATTATACAAATAATGAATGTTTATGAGTGCAATGGTAAAAATATTTTCACGAGGTGAAAGATGGAATGTTCCATTCAATGAGGCGATAGCCAAGTTGAATGGAGCATTCCATCTTTCACCAAGTGAAAATATTTTTACCATTGCATGAATGAAAACATTCATTATTTGTTTTATGTAATACCAAAATAGACTGTCTCGTTTCAAAAATATAATTTATTAAAAAACATACTGAATGGATCAACAACCATAAGTGCGAGAAGCATTTTGATGGATGGTATTTACTGAAAGCATTAAGAGTGCAATGGAACAAAATGTATAGTACAATTGCACTCTGGAGAGTGCAATGGAACGCTTTCCATTGGGAAATGAGACTTTCTATTCAATATCATGTGATCGTCATCAACCAATTAAACGCTCTAAATTTAATGGGGTATTATATAATATACTAGGTTACCTGCAAGGTAGGGATTGCTGCGAGTATTTTAGGGTCCATGTAAATTGTTATATGAAATATTAGTAAACTAAATCCGCTTTAACTAATAGCAATAGCAGGTTTAAAACACGTAAAGTGAACCTCTATTGAGCATTAACTCGCTGGGGCTGTACATGAATTTATACCTGTTAGGGAGAACACTGGCAATGACGTCATTATAGGTCAACATATGCTATGTAATGTAGTTCGTATGAAAAACATCGTTGTGTAGTTCAACTGTTCAAGTTCTAACTTTTATCTCGAAATTGTTTTGAAATAGGCTGCAGGTTTATATTATGATTTCGCGAGTAAATTTGTTAAGCAAAAAGATATATGTTCAACAAAGTATTTGCTACCCAAAGGATTTGTAGATTGCAGTCGGCAAAAACGAATCGTCTGAAAATAGCCATTTTTCAATGTCATAAATACCAATTTCTACGATGTTGGATAGAGATACGAGTTGCGGCTCGTTCAAGTCAAAGTCTTTAGAAGCAGCTAGTTTTCAAAATATTTTAATATACGAATCACAACAGGAGTATTAAGAATAATAGTAATATTACGCAGAATTTTGCGCGCGTAGCGACATTTTCCACTGCAACAAAGTTGACAGCATTGTACTTTCCAGTTTCCGCGCGGAAAATATTATTCGGGCAAAATGATTCCGCCTAGCGAAAATACAGGCCCTAAGCAGTAGCGCATGTTTAACAAAATAGAACATTTTTTGGTAACATGGATATTTGTTTTTGGAATATGTTATTTGTCTTGTATGAGTCCACGTAAATGTTTAGCTTCATGTAAATAGTGACAAAACATCATTTGATACTTTGATTTTGAACTTTGAACGCACTCGAGAAGACGTGTAATCAGAAACCAGCACTAAATAACAAAAATATTTAGGCATTTAGCTCATTGTAAAATAGGAATTAATCTCGGACGTCACTATACTTACCCGTGTGGATGGTTAGGTGCAGACTTGGCCACTACCGTGACACTATCAGTTACTTGGATTCAGGTCCGCATTACGTGAGTCTGCTTAAGGCCCTCACCCACTCATCGCAAAAACTTACTCGCAAGCTCGCTGCGATTAGTTTCGTCCAATCACAATGCTTGTCAGTCTATTTCAATTAGATGCAAGAACTCGCAGCGATCTTGCGAGTTGATTTTACGATGAGTGGAAAAGAGGCCTTAGTCCGGACCTGACCACCAACGGTGGAATTTCACCAAATTTCACCACTCCAAGTAACGTAATCTTATTTTTCCTCTACCTCTCCGAACCATCCGCACGATTTCACAAGACCGTAGAATTATCGACCGACGCCGTCGTTATGCGACCTAGCCTCGCCAGGCGTCTACGGGGACGAGGGCCCGGTGCCAAGACCGGCGCTGGCAAAGGGAACAACCCTAGATGCGACGTTAAGCGCTATGATTCCATTAGCAAAGGGATCACATCCCAATGCGAAGCCACGCTGGTGAGATTCAATTAGCAGGGGACCACACCCCACTGCTAAGCAACGCTGCTATGATTCAATTAGCCCAGGGACCACGCCCTGCTGCCAAGCCTCGCTGGTCAGATTGAATTAGCAAGGGATCGCACCCCACTGCTAAGCAACGCTGCTATGATTCAATTAGCCCAGGGACCACGCCCTGCTGCCAAGCCTCGCTGGTCCGATTGAATTAGCAGGGGATCACACCCCACTGCTAAGCAACGCTGCTATGCTTCACTTAGCCCAGGGACCACGCTCTGCTGCTAAGTCTCGCTGGTAAGATTGAATTAGCAAGGGACCACCCCCCACTGCTAAGCAACGCTACTATGATTCGATTAGCACAGGAACCACGCCCCGCTGCTAAGCAACGCTGGTAAGATTCAATTAGCAGGGGACACAGGAACCACGCCCCGCTGCTAAGCAACGCTGGTAAGATTCAATTAGCAGGGGACCGCACCCCACTGCTAAGCAACGCTGCGATGCTTCAATTAGCAAGGGACCGCCCCCCAATGCTAAGCCACGCTTAGAAAAAGAAAACAAAACAAAAAAAAACAACCAAAGTACAAACATAGACCACATCCAATACACAAGGCAACATGCAGAGATTTATTTGACAAGTACACCTGACATCATTATGTGACACTATTAACCATGCGCGCCGGGACCGTTTCTAAAAGCTGGGTAGGTGTCTGTATATACAACTGGTAAGCATTGCTGAACCACCGCCCTAATGTTTTGATGAGATGGTCAGGAATACCCGCGCTGCCGCCGCCGAGGTTGCCGCCCCGATACGAAAGCTATGGCCTGAAAAGTTCCCTTCTGATCCCGCGCGGGCGGCCGCGGTTCTGAGCCAGGCTGTCAAAGTCGTCCGAGTCAGTGGCAGACCCGTTGTATGGCGAAATAGCGGTCCACCGTCCCCACCCCGCCGGTGAAGGTAGCGCAGCAGTGCACGGACTGCGCAGACTTCTTTTCCCGAGATGCCCAGACGGATGGTGTGGCCCTGGCGAAATGGGTCCGTTTTAGAGCACTTGATGCGAAGAAAGACTACCTGCGGCTGCTTATGATGGTCAACCTGAACGTCCTCTACAGCCAGATTCACACGCGCGTCGAACGAGCTGTTCGCTGTCGTAAATTCGCCAGAGCGCAAGAAACCGAAAAAGCCGGTGCAACAGGCCGCCCAAAACAATATATCGTCGTACCGGTCGAGATCCAGCACCGCCCGAATGCGAGAAAGCACCGGCAACGTAATTAGAAGTCTTTCACGTTTCGAGATGCCCTGGGAGCGCTTAATTCCCCCCAATACCCTTTCCAATCGCAGGCAGTTAGCAAGCGGGTTCGCGAGGCCGTGTTCGATGTGGAGGGAACGTATCCCAGCT